AATCGGAGTAATCGAAAAACGGAACAGCGGCCGTTACGGCGATATTTCATTCCGTTTACGACACTCGCCAGCCACGGTTTACGGCGGAATCAAAATTTCAGCCGAGCGATACTGTGCCTGTTTTAATGGAGACTCTCATCCCCATCATCGAAACAGCCCGTATAAACCGAGCCGCCGTTCCGCCCGCGACGGAATTCGCGTCGGCCGCCCGCTCTCCGGCGGATTTTAATAACGCGGCCGCGTTCCCTCGATAATCAGTTCGCTAGAAAAACCGACGATCGCGGCGGGCGATGCCGCGGAAATGAATTTTCCGGCGGGAATCGGCTCGATCGACGCGGAGCTCGATCGATTAACGCGGCGAGTCGCTCGCGGGATCCTCGTCCAAGGACCTTTAACTGAATTATAAGTTGCCTAATGTTTATCGGGAAGCCGTACGAGGATAACTGCGAGCTGATACCAATTACACTCCATTACGGGAACGGGAAAGCAAAGGCGGACGCGAGTTCCGGCACGGTCCGCGCCGCTCCTCGGCGACGGCCAAGGTGAATCCCCGGGGATTCCGAATGATTTCCGAGTTTCTTCACAGCCGAGCCGGGAGACTTGTAATCCGATTACTGAACTTCGGATGCCCGTGAAATTACGGTGCGCCCGAACGCGGTGTTTATCGGCGAACGTTTCTCACCGCTTCACCTGCAATCGGGATTCGTGTGATTTTAATCAGACGCGAATACAATCGTGGCGATTCAGTTATAATTTCAGTAGTTACGTTTTGCTTGTCAGTCATACGAGAGTAACACTAAAACTACCGAGCAGTTCAATCGACTTTCCGAAATTCCTCTATGGAAACCTCAAGGGTGCATCTATCGAGAGTTTGATTTATAATTCAGTTCGCGTAAGTCAATTTTTATTTCTCAGAGAAACATCCGTGGTCTCGTCGACAATCGCAAAGTTGAGAGATCAGGAATGTAATTTCGAACTCTCTGCTGCTTTTAGTGTTACAATTAAAGGTAATCCTTCCGGCGACGATCAAGGCGTAACAGATGCAATTACGATTTACCGAACGCTCAGTTTTCTACTACCGTATTAGCAGTTGCATTCCGTTCGTTGTCGTCAAGTCCCGAGCAAATTACATTTCTACCGACTCCGTCTCCAACAAGGCAGAAAACTCCGCGACGCGGAATGAACCAGACGCAGATTGCATTCTCCGTCGCGGGGTCAGGTTAACAACTAGCGGGATCTCCGCTCTAAGTTACCCCTATCAGACGAGTGCGTGGAGCGTTTTGATCTCGTATCCGACCGCCGGAGAACGCTCCGAGCGAGACGGAGAACACGGGACGCGAAAGATCTTCGCGGAATATTTCCCGTTCCTACGCGTACGCCTCGGGCTCGCAGACACGAAACGCTTCCCCCGACTCGGCCGCGGAGGGGGTTGATCCTCGAGACCGACTGAAACGATACTGCCGAGAAGTAAGAAATATTTTCCCGGGCAGAAGCGCCGCCGAGATACGTTAACCCTTGAAAGATTAAGGGAACCGCTGGTTACGAAATACCGGGAATATATTGCCTTCCCTGAACAGAATATCTTCAAAAACCGTTCTCATCTTACGGCCTCCCCTCTTCGCGTTACGAGATCTCTTTCGCAGTTCCGGCAAAATGTAATTGTCGCGAGTCTACGTCCTCTTTCGAAACGAACCATTGATAAGGAAGTAACGGCACTTCATCTTGAACTCGGAGAAACCTATGATTTCCACGTGCGTTCGTTTCTATGGGAAACTCGATTTAAGGAATCAAATTCGAGAAATCTAGCTTCTCGTTCTCGGATTAATCTTCCTCCGATTCTGCGGGAAGGAACGGTACAGTTTCACTTTATCGTATGATTTTCACGTGTCACTTCTATTTGGAATTTCTAGAATCAAGTTCTAGAGATCTGCCATCCGAACCCCTTGCGCTCGAAAATTTTTCTCTGCGCGACATTTCGTATAAATGACGTTCTTCGAAGCTGAGAGACAAGGAAACGTATGTACGTTAAGAGAAGGCTATTTTGTTTCAATATTTCATATATCGATTCATCGCACGGAACGTAATGTTATATGTAAGACTGTAATCTTGCGTCGAATCTAGAGCGCAGATCATTCTCGGATCATTGTCCGTAACACGCCTCTTCGAAGATTCAAATGAGCGCGACCGGAGCATTTTCCGAACCGATTGTTCAGATGATTTATCCGAGAACAACCGCTTAACAAAGCCCACTCTTCCCGAGGCTTGTACCCAGACCGTGCTCCGTCGGCAGCGAAAATGTCCGTCGAGAGCACGCGGTTTTGCTCGTGACGTAGAGCATCACGAGCGCGAGAGCGCGTGATATAACGGTCCGGGGCCGAGCTCGGCCGGCGAGGACATAAACTCTCACGGTCTAGCTCGCGCGGACAAAACCTGTTACACCGTGGCGCGCAGCCGGACAGCTTACAAATCGCCTCAGCCGTTCCCGAACCGCGTCGCGACGAGCCTGCGGGCGGCGGGCTCGAAGATTGCCGGATCCGGCCAAGGAACGGAAACATCGTTCACGGATCAGCGAGAAGAACGGAAGCCGACCCCTGAAAATCGGAGGAATCACGCCGAATCCCGAATAGAATCGAAAACCCGAAGAAACTAAACGAAAAGATTCTCTCCTCGTATTCCATCCGATGTCCTCTTACAAGATCGTCCCCTGAATCCTCTGCACCGTGAAAATCAGAATGAACGCCATCCCCAAGGATCGATAACGATCGAGCGAAATTATGAAATTCAAGTTCGAACGGATCTCGCTAATTCGACAGCGGCAGATGTTAATTTTACAACCTAAGACACGGACAATTATATCAACGAATACTGGGCCAGGGACGTCGATCGCTCGGTCGTAGCGTTTCCCCGTTGAATTAACGGCGGGAACGACCGAGAGACGTCGTAAAACACCGCTCATGGAAATCGAAATCTTGGCCGCTTGTGGCGGGATCGCCGAAGAATTCCGGGGACCGTAGAACTCGGCAACAAAAGAACAACGATAAAAGCAACGATATCCGCCCTCGAGAGCGATGGGATCGGCGCGGAACCTATCCATCGGTTTACAGTCCCGCTTCTGTTTTACGACGGAGCCGAGGACCGCTCGATTCCGCTCGGCGTTCGATGAAATTCAGCTCGGAATTTCGGTTATCCCGCGGTTTTATTCCGACGGCGCGCACACGCCTTCTCGGCCGGGCTCGTCGGCTGCGAGGCGCCCCCCTCCCTGACCCCGCGGCTTCGAAATTTCCGCTTAGACACGATCTCCCTTTCTGGGGTGACGGCTCTGCCCGCACGAGAGACTTTTAATGCCGCTTTCTCGCGTTAAGCTCCTCGAGAGACATTAACCCCGTCGCGACACCGAGACGCGCGTTTCCTGACTGCTTAATTCTGGCCGCGATGCGACGCTGAGGAGCTCGGCAGCACGGAAAAACGAACGGGAAATGGGGGTAGGGGAGGAAGAGAGGCGCGCCAGGGACGAGAAGTTTCCCGGCGGGAAACGTTTTTACTCGACGTCGCGTGAAGGGAAAAATGCGCTCGGCGGATTCGAGGTGGTACGTATCGCGCTCTCGCGTCTTGTCTGAGTACTTGCAAGTCGAAAGACCACGGGAGCATCGTGAAGCGGAGATTGAGTACTTCTGGTAACAGTGATTCCTTGGTTTTGATAGATTCTTGTTGTTGTCGTGCGACAAACAATCGTGAAACGAAACGCGGAGCGAGGTGTAGCGATGGAAGATGATCAGCGAACGATGATCACTTTTGAATTGAAGCTAGCAGAATGTGCGAGGGGCTCAGCACTGAAACTACCGAGCAGCGAATAGTTTAACGAACGTAAAGGTTGAGTTGCGTTCAGGTTGAATGAAACATTGCTCTTAGCAATTTGTATGGGTTATACTGAATATAGACGTAGAAGGTGCATGGAATGTTTTCTTTCGCTAGCGCATTATTAACCTACGAAGTGAAACGTAAGGCAAGGGGTTAATCGAATTGATTTTCAATTCAGTTTGAGCATCGTTGCATCGATCTCTAAGGATTTCTCAGAGAAGCGTCTGTTACCTTTTGAATAATTGCAAGAACGGTGATGGGTCATTGTACTCGATAGATTTATCGTTAACCCTTTGCACTCGAGAGGCCAGATGATTTGATACAGCAAAATTATAAACTTCGGTGTTTACCGTTCACCTTTGTATACCTTATAATACGTGAGATATTGAAAGAGAATAGCTAATAATTTATGATTTCCTGTTAGATTCATTTTAAAGAATGTTGTCTACATCTGATTGGAAAGTATAGAATACTTCGAGTGAAAAACTTTCGAGCGCAAAGGGTTAATATATAGAGCCCGACTCACCAGCGGCGAACATTCACGCGGCTGCTCCCCTTCCGGCAGCGTGGTGATGAGGAAGAGGACCGGGCTGGTGACGAGCAGACTGGTGACCAGCAGCATCGCGAACGTGAGCAGCGCCTTGTGCACCGCTTTGCTTCTTCGGAGCCAGTAACACGGCACGCAGCATATCCAGGTACCCTGTTGCGCCGCCCTCTCGACTTGTACCTGTCGGAGAGATGGTTACCGTTCGTGAAGACCACTCGTATACGTTTAATTTCATTGTTTCAACCCGAAAGTACTCGGAGAAACTTTTTATATTTCAACACATCGACCGCCGGCACCGTGAAAACGCGGGATTCTGGATCCGTTGAATCGTATACGGCGAATACGCAATTAACATCTTAGACACGACGCGTCACTATAGTGGCTCCGTCGCTACCAATACATCATAGATCATACTCAATCGTATTACTAATTATTACAGTAAATTGTTAAAGTTAAATCATGTGTATCATATCTTTCAGAAAAATTGTAATTTAATCATGGAAAACTTCATTCCAATCTACTCGCGTAGAGAACAGCATTGTCCGTACAGAACTCTGCCTGCAGAGAAACAGCCTCGCAAAATTCAGCCGTGCCTAAGAGGTTAAAATGTACTATTTTACGAAACTGTATGTAATGTGTTGAATATTTTTTTCGGCTACTCATTGATCAGATACAAGCGAATGAGGCCGGCCTCGTGAAAACGCGGGATTCTGAGTCAGTCGCTTGAGCGCCGGCCACGCAATAATGCGGATTTCTGGATCCGTTAAATTGTATACGACGAATGCACTTGAAATGTACTATTTTACGAAACTGTATAATGTGTTGAATATTTTTTTGTTGCCGACACTCAGGCTTTAAATGTCTCTTAAGGCGGTCAATGTGTTAAGATTGAAACACGTTGAGATAATTGTTTCGTACTAGGCGACGGTTAAGAAGATATTGAAGATTTAAATATGAAATAGAGATTCCCGGTTCCTTGAGCGTCGAAATTAATTCAGAATTACAAAACTAAGTAACTCGGTCTCCCGCGGCTTGAAATAACAGTGATATTTCCGATGGAGAAAATTACTGGCAGGTTACGTATATTCAGTACGATAGACAGCATTGGATTTATTATTTAAATCGTCGCAGGAACCCGGTCGCAGGGAGATTCATCCATTTCCCGATCCAGGAATAACATTTTCCCTCTATTTATGAAACGCTGGCGTAACAGCCGTTCTCAATACCATCGACACCAATTTAACCTAGCGGCCTATAGCCTAAGAAAACATTCGCGTCTCCGCCCTGTCTTAACCATTCCTCCGTCTCTCGCTATCAGCTGCACTCGTTGTCTATACAGCATGATCGAGATTGAATCAAACCCTTGTGCACCGCTCGGATCGATCCGCCTCGAAATAGATACCCGGATCCTTCTAAAACTTCCCGTACCACGGAGTCCTCGTGCAATTTTTATACGCTCCGATGCCGTTATGACACGTTACCTTTCACTGATTCGACTTTAATTCCGATACGAGAGCGCCCGGAGTATTTATACAACTATCATTTCAACAGACCCGACAGCCAACCTAGCGTCCAGATCACTGGAGACCTCGGTTACGAATTTTAATCCTCGACTTCGAACAAAACAACAAAGACAGAATTATAAAGCGATCCCAGCCTTTCGAGATCTCCAAAAATACGGCAGCAAAAATCATTGTATTATCTTCGTCACTGTCATTCTTAGACCTCGGTTACGAATTTTGATCCTCGACTTCGAACGAAACGATAAAGACAGAATTATAAAGCGATCCCAGCCTTTCGAGATCTCCAAAAATACGGCAGCAAAAATCATTGTATTTCTTTATCACTGTCATTCTTGTAATATTCACAATTTACACGTTATTGTACTAAATCACTTCTACTCGTTTCCACTTATTATCTACATTACAGTAGTTTTTCACAGTAAGTCAACTTGAAATACTCGCAGTCCATTAAATATTAATATAATCCCCGACATACAAGAAACTCTAAACCAATCGATACACTTAACATCCGAGCACAATGCCACTAAAACGCTCGAATCGTCACGACACTCCAATTCCAGTCCCTCGAGCCCTCAAAGAATATGAACGGAATCCCTCGTAAATATCTCAGAATCCATTCTAAACCTACCGACACTAACGCTCGAGCACAATGCCACGCAGAAACACTTGAATCGCTACGATATTCCGTTTCCCGCGGAGCGTATCGTATCCCTGCCAGTCTAATACGTAACAGCGGCGCAGTGTTGAGTACGCGTTCTCCATTTCGAAATTTTAATAGCGAAACCCGTACGTCGCAGGCCGACTTAACTTTGCGCGACCGATCGGAAGTGGACTGTATCAATGTTTGCTTCAGTGGAAATAACTTGCTGTTCATTAAGAGAATTCAGTGATACTCGTCAGCGGCGAGTGTCTACAACGACGTCTGTATACTCTCTCGTTTGTCTAGCTTGAATCTATCTTGTACCTATCGTCTCCGTATCTCGCGTGGTTTTTATAAACCAGGTAGGCGTGTGCAAAATCGGAAGTCCGCCTGATTCGTAGCCTTCCAAGGTAGCGGGCGCGTACAAACAAATTCCTTCGAGTGGGACTAGCTTCCCCTCGACCAGTGATCCTAGAGGGGTTGCCGATTCTTGTCGCTGACCACAGCGAGTAAAACCAAGGATCGCCTCGACTGGCAAACAGGTGTAAGGTTAAAACTACGGTGAATCTACAGAACTGGCGAAACGTGCCGAAGCAACTGCGACTAAATTATCGAAGCAACGGTTCCTCGGGCTTTTATTCCCGCTATGGTGAAAATACCCAGGGCTCTTGTGAATAGCCCCGTTAAAGCGACTTCGCGAGGCGACACGCGGTACACAGCCTATCTCCGCGATCGCGGTCGAATCGATGTTATGGTAGGCGTGAAGGGTTAAAGGGGAACGTACCATCGGCTCGTCCGGAAGGCCGGACCCCTCTTCGCCGGCAGGGTTGTTTCCAGGAGGGCCGGTCGCCGCAGTCGCAGCTGCGGCGGGTCCAGCGCCCTGAGCGTGAGCATGTGCGCCTCCTCCGGCCCCAGGGGCGCACAGAGTGCGAGGACTCAGGGGTAGCCTCACGCTTGCCTCGCCACGAGATCTACCCCCACCGCCACGGGCCCCGCGGCCCCCGTAACCCCGGCTCACCGTACACAGAGCCACATTTGCCGGGTCCCTCGGAACGCCCACTCCCTAATGCCCGCCAATCTCGAACCTCCCGGCGGGAGTTCGCGGGACCGCAGCCCCCTACCGCGACCCCGTGGGCCTTCTGCTCCAGCACTCAGGCCACCGAGTGCTGGGTGGCTGGATCAGCCGGCCGGGACCCACGATTTCTTCTTCCACCTCCGCATCGGTCGTTCCTCCTTCTTCCCGTTCGCTCGTAATCTGCAATCACATCGTTGATCCTTTCGTTAGGCTAGCTTGCGTGAATCGACGAGGCGCGATTATGAGCATGCGACAACGGCGCGCGAGTTGCGAGGAAGGTAACGCGGTTTTAATTAGGAAAAATGACAGTAGGACACTCACCGTCGCTGTCGCGTGAGAAACAAAAGGAGCCCGGGCGGCCGATCGGCACGCGTGTCTGGCAAAGTCGCGCTGATTGGCCGCTCGGTAGATGCTCCTTTTTCCTATAAATATGCCGACCTTTTTTCGTTCATCGTAAGTTAACATTGGCTCGCGTAATCGACAGTCTTGACAATAAACGTAGAAACAAGCATCGAAAATCAACCTCTGCGTTGATGAAATTGTTAGAATCACTGTATTACTTCAGCATTGTACTTTTAAGCGTGGAATTATGTTTTCTTTGGTGAAACTAAAGAAACCAGTTCAACACCCTTATTACCGTAAGAAGTCGTAGGGCCCGAGAATCGCGAAGTCGAAAACAGAAGTCGAATACGAAGAGCGTGATACGCGTTCTGACGCGTCTAACGTTTGTTGGAGTGCTCACGATGCAGTTATTTAATCTTCCAGATGTGACATGAGTCGCTCAATGCTGTTGAGCTTGGAGAGGAAACATGAGGAAATTAGGTTAGCTTCTGAAGTGGTCGCACGGCGTATCCGGAAGCCAAAGAAAGGGCTTTCTAACCTAGAGCTCGAATAACTAAGGAGAATATCATTTATTCCGCTGAAATTTTGGAAAATCAGAATATCGAGACAGGGACGGGATTCCGAACGACTCGAAATATACTAGAATTCAAATCCTAATAATAATAGTGTAACAGTAATAGTAATAATATCAACGCATTCTCGAACATTTAGATATACACAGGAATTCTTCGTCATAGCAATGTTTACTGGTTGCTGAACGACGGAATATAAATAAATCAATAACGAATCGTGTAACCGGGAGAAATGTCTGTGTATCTTCCGGAAACGTACAAGAAGTTCCAGCGCGGAAACTATTAAATGTTTCCAGATACTTCGGGAGTTACGAACGAAGTAGCGCCGCTCTCTATTTCTTCCCGTTTTCATTCGTACAAACTGTATCGCCTCGGCCCGGGTAAACCGCGACTTCCAAGGTATCGAGCGACAGACGGCCGCGTTCTCGGCGACAATCCGTCGCCGCGAATTCGGCTCGCGACCGAAGGGACCAAAGGTTCGAGAGGCGACACAGTGGGAGCGGAACCGCTGATAAGAATGGCTTTGTCCGAGTGACCGTTTTGTCTTCGCGTGTATCTCGGAGGCTCTCGGGCGGTTTGGGTGCCTGTTCGGCGTCAGCCTCGTTACTCTCTTTCAGATAACGGCGTCCTCTGTCTCAGTGAGGCTCTATTGCTCGAGCTGACGCCTGCATCGCCGCTGAACGGCTGTAATCCAGCCTCGCCGATCACCTCGCCACCTCCATCTGAATCCAACGCCGGAGACCCGAAGAAGACACGCTCCAGTTGCGTGCTAATGATTCCGCCGATAAACCACGCGCAATTTGTCATTGTCCGAACCACCGGCCAATTATTATTGCCGTTCCGGGATCGGGCGATTAAGTGGCGCGAACGTCAGCCTCAGGAAGAGCCGCGTGACGGAAGGAATAGGGCGATCTTAATTAATCGGGGACGATTGTTCGAAACGTCTACGCGACGTTCGCCTAACATTCGTCGTTAATCTTCCTCGGTAGTCTCGACTAACTCCGACGGAATCAGCCGGAGAAATGAATTCCACGGATACAAAGGACTAAAACTGTCTACAAGCAAATCGATGGAATACACGAGGGTGGCTACCTTATATCTCGAAGAGTAATTTAAACGGTTAGCTCGTATCGGAAGTTACTCGACGGCTACGTCGCATAAAGCGACAAACGAGAGTGCTCCGGAGAGTTCGTTTTTATCCGAGGAACAAGTTCTTCGGCAAATATCAATCGTTCATTTCGTCGGCCGCTCGATGCGTCAAAAGAGCCGGATCCTCGTCGAGCCGGCAATTAGCGAAATTCGGTTGATACCGGAATACTTCTGCCAGGAAACCGGACGACCGCGATCCCGTCGGATCGGCAGGAAAGCCGCCGTGTGTCCCGGGGGCTCGTAAATCGTCCGTGGCCGGGGCGGCGCAAAGAAAAACCGTCGAGATCGATGAGATAATCGGCTCTAGTCTGAAAGCGTCTACTTACACGTGCCCGCTTCGGTCACGACTGGGGCACTTTATCCGCGTTATTTATCTACACAACAGCGGTGATTAAGCTAACGAGCCGTTCCGTTCCTTTTTTCCGGCTGGCCCGAAAATTTGCATACCAAACGCGGACGCGGCCAATGACGGCGCGGGGAAAACGCTCCCTTTTTTCCTCGCCCGTTCCGCCCTCGTTCCGCGAGAGCTCGACGGCGCCCTTAACCGGCGAGCGTGTTTGCTAATTCGGTTGGCCACGTGGAACGGTGACAGAAAAACGAGCGGACACCGGTGATAAAATGAAAAAACTCCCGACGCTGGCGAAACTCTAGCCGTTTATCCGTCAACGGGAGCCGGATTCGTGGATTCGAAGGGGTTGCCAAGGGCGCACGCACGCATCTGGGCCAAAGTAGTTGGCGCCGGTTGAACTCGCGACAGCGGTGAACTTACGGCGCTGGATTTTCCGGTAACTTTGGAATCGCGACTTCTGCCTCGCCTTTTACTAAGCGGCATTCGCCAGATTCGCGACGTTTAGATTCACGGGAGTAAGCGTGAGATGTTAGCACAATTCGGAACTAGAAACAAGCAACGCTGAGTATTATCTTCGATATCTATATTCGAATATTTCCGTAGCTAGTTCAACCCCTTGACGTACTTATTTCCGCTACTAAGCTCGTGTCGCATTTTACTATCGGCAAGGTAGAAGAAAAGCAAAATTTTCCAAGTTTCATTCGAAGAGAATACATTGATAACAGCGAGATGATTATGTGCTGATCCGTGGATAATGGACAACATTGATTGTCGTCGAATCAGTCTGGAAATCTTCATCGCGAGTTTCACTCGCGATTGTACGGCGAGGGGTTAAGAGGGGACGCGATTCGTTCGCGCAGCATTCATTGGAGCCGCGTACATCCGCGGAGTTTTAATCACGATCGCAGGAAACGCGGGACACGCGAAAAGGTCTTGAAAAAGTGTACCCAATATCGCTCACCCCTCGAGCTATCGATTAATTCGCGTATTTACGAGTTCCCCAGGCTATATTTATACGCGCGTTTATTATTTTTAACCGTACGAATGTCCCCGAGACTTTTCGTCCCCCCCTCCCGCGCTGAGGTATCGCTCGAAGTGGGTAAACAGGTTTATACACGTGGAATTTTCAATTTTCCCCGAGACAATTCCAGCGATCGGCGTGCGCCACCAATTTCACAGTTTCATCGTAGCCGACTAAGCGGGACACCGTCGGGTCTGTTCGATATACCGCGGAAACGCGAACGACGTTGAATAAATTTGGATGAACGCCGCTCTCGTCGGCGCGACGCGACGGTCGAGAATAAGGGATCGGTCTTTCGAAGTCACGGAGGCCGACGGAGGACGGGAACGTTCGCGAACAGTTGGAAAACGACGGTCAGACGCGTCGTCACGGTTTATTGATAGAATGCCACGTACGCCGGCGATATATTCGCCGATTATTTTTTGCCGGGGGATAAAAATATTCAGGGCCGATGGCGAGATTACATTTTCCAGTCAATGGAGTACGTGATTGAGGCCTCGGAACGCCGGCCAGAAGAAAACTGCAAACAAACCGCGGCGAGCCGAGGCTAGATCGAGCATGAAACTTGAATCCAGAAAAGAAGGAAAACCTGCTTTTCGTTTCCTCGCATTCTCCTCGCTAACCCTCTCTCTCTCTCTCTCTCTCTCTGGCCATTTTCCATTTTCTGCAGAGGGATCGTCTATTTTTCAAACTTCACGATCATGTTACTCGCGCCCACAGTCTACCCGAACGCTTCAAAGCTTTTGTTTCTGTTCCCGTTCATTTTAACCTCATGTTTTTGCTCGAATTCCGTAGAGGAACGTCGGTGAACGAATATTATATTGGTAGGGAAATAACGCGGACATTGCGAATGAGTTGATAAATTTATTATAACCTTCCTGTTTTAATCAATCGATTGTATAACTGTTTTCCCATATCGTACGATTATCGACTGTCCGATTATCACTGCTTTGTGACACAGGATCCGCCGCGAAGGAAACTATGAATATCATTAAGGAATTTAATTTCCCCGTCCGTTAAACGATTTCTCATTTCCTCGGCGCATTTTCACAAATATGGAGGCATCTTCGGGAAGATTAGAATCGCGGGGCAACGGGCCCATTAACTCTTTCGACCGAAACTACTTTCCCATTCGTCCGACGGACGCAATTATTTCCCGCGGACTTCGAAAAATTCATTTCCGCAAGTTAGATTCGTGTTCCTTGCCGGCGGAACTTTCGGCGGCGAGTTTTTCCGCGGGTTCTCGAGAGCTCTGTACATTCTCCGGTTCCAATATTGTCTCTCGGAAAACTTGACACGGCTGACGGAAACTTTTCAACCGGAAGCGGATTCGGTGTACCTGAATCTGTCAGTCAGCCGGATCTCTCTCGGAGCGTATCGATGGCGGTTCGCCTCGAATCCGAGCAAGTTTTTAGCCGTCGCGACGGTGCGCCCGAGTATTTCGGTTTCGAACTCCGTAAAAGATTTCAAGGCTGTCGTAGGAGTGCACAACGAACCAGCAAACTCGACCCTGTCGGCCTCAACGTCCGAAGATACTGCGGGAAGTTTCGATATAAAGTACACTCTGCGACACTTAATTCTTTGCCCTGTGATTTCTCTTTTAACCACGATAGACTAATTTGTCATTGACGCTTCGAGGGTGAATGCCACTTTGGCGACACCGAACTCTGGAAAGGCACAGTCCTCCAACATGTATGAGTTCGATGTATAATTTAGCTTCATCTGCTAATGGTTCTGAATATTTCAATAATTTCCCACCCGCGGGGGTTAATAATTAATTGGAAAAAGAGGCAGAGACTAAGTATATTCTATATTCGTGTTTTCTAGCGAATAATACTTAATTCGGATAGAAAAGGATTGAGTAATATTTACGCTGGTTAAATTCTCTTTGAAATTTTTATCGCGGCCTGACGCGTTATTGCAAGGCAAGGGGTTAAGCGTAGAGGATTTTTATTCGAAGGGAAATAAAACGAGCACGAGAAAAAATTAGGGAGCTGGAAACGCATTAAAACTTGGAACGCAGCGCGAGTAACGATTCAACGACGTCCGGACAATTTTCCCTTAAACTGCAGGCTGTTGCGTTCCGAATTGCAACTTGGTTGCGCGCGTAATTTGAAAATAAGTGCCGGTGGCACGCGAATGATCCCCGTTGTTGGACAGATTTTTTCGCAACTTCGTAATTACCTGTTCCAGTCAGCTAGGCCGCATGGAAATCTTAATCATCGCGAGTTAGCCGCGACGAAAATGCAAGTGCGGATTTGATTAAACGATCCCCGCTGTCGCGTATTTTCTCGCGGTGTATAATTATCCGCAACGATGCATTACGCGGCGATAATTTTGTAACCGTTGCAAGCCGCGCGATAAGAATTCAAGTGCGAGCCTGATAAAATCGAAAGGTCAGATGACACAAGTTTCAAACTTTGCACGGAGAAACCTCGAGAACGAGAAGCTCGCGAAACTTCTTCTAAATTTCAATTCGCGAGAATCTGTTCGGGAAACGGACACGTAAGCGAACGATACGAGGACACGGTTCCAGGACACGATTCGAACAAGATGGCACGAGTCGTTAAACATTCACGTCACCATTAGCGGTCGCGGACTGACCGGGGAAACCCGCTCCGCGAGAGAACGATGCATTCCCTAAGACGCTTCCTCGCTTTCTTCGGAAATCCTCGATAAGCCGATAAGAACAAACTGACCGATACTTTTCGCCGACAACTTTACGAAAAACCAACGAAATTTCAAAGTATAATCGAACGTCGTCCCGATACGAACAATCTTCCAAATACGAAACTATATACAAACTCCTCGTGAAATACATTTCCTACGAGTGTACTCGGCAAACACGTATTCTAATCGAAGCAGAACGATGGAACGGATTCCGAACGAGACAAAGGCCACGGAGTGTAAAAGGAAATCGGTACATTACCTGCACAAGATTCGAAGCAAGATCCTCCTCCGTGTGCACGTTCCCAGTTGAATGTCACGGTGACTGTCGGAGGCGGCACGAGTGTGTCAGTCACTTCCGGTTCACTGGGCAGAGCCCGGCGCGAACGGGGGTCCGAGACGCGGACACCGCCGAGCCGTCAGTCACTCCCGCAACCGTTCCGGGACGGTTCTCTCTGCGTGGGTTTCTGGCGCGTATCAGATAGAGTGACCGGAAGCCGAGAAAACGCGGCCCTGCTTTACGTGCTGGGGGTAACACGCGGACTGTCGGGCCGGACTCAACCACCGTGCCCGCGTCTCTTTCTCTCCCTCCCTCGGCATGCTCGCTCCGTTCCACCCCCTACCCTTTCTCTTTCTCCCTCTCTCTCTCCGCTCTGCGTCCCTTTCCTCGACGATTCTCTCTGTCCCCCTCTCGCCCTCTAATCTCTGTCCTCCTTCAGT